CTCCGAATTTCTGTGACTCGGTTTGCTACGAACGTCTTAAGGAGGTGAGGCGGCGTTTTTATTCAATGCAAAACGATGGTCGAATCGCACCAAAAAATGACTCGGTTAGGCGTAACGTTTAATATAGCGCTCGCTTCCCGATATAATTGTGCCGATACTACTGCACCACAGAGTTCTAAACGCGGAATAGTAATAGGCTTTAACGGTGCAACTCTGGATTGGCGCATGCCAATCTGACAATCGCAGTCTCATTTTTCCTGTTAGATCGAACATACAAGCATTCACCGTAGCCGACACTACTGGCATCACAGAACCCGTGTATTTGAACGTCGCGATAGTCATTTATTAGCAATTTACGTTCAAAGTAAAGCGATTTATTGATTCTAATTGTCGAACAAATTCCTTCCACTCCGTATATATGTCTTGTGGGACAGATTCGTCCCATTGTAAACCGGAACGCCATATGTCTTGCATCAACCTTTTAGCGTATAGAATAATCGGACCGAGTAATCCTATCGGATCAAAAATCTTTGCAATTTCCGATAATATGTTTCGTTTTGTCAATCTTTGAGTAATTTCGATCGGACGCACCGCATAATGCATTTGATCGTCTCGCGTATTCCATGTTATACCTAACGTCTTTACGGAACGATCCACGTTTAACACGAGTTTAGTGTGTAACGCGTTGGATGCTAAATCGTTAATAACGCGCTCGTCGTTGGATGCCCGTTGCCTTCTGGAGAAACCACCCCGTTTCAGTAACGCGATTATTTCGTTACGGACGGCGCGCGCCCCTATAATCGTATCCGCGCCGGATAACAAATTATCTGCATAAAGATGTGTGGTAAGAATCTCGGCCGATCGAGGATACTCATGACGTTCGTCCTCCGCAAGTTTCTGTAAAACTCGAATCGCGAGGAAGGAAGAAGGCGAAACACCGAATGTGAGCGTGTTAAGCTGAAATGTTTTAACTCTACCATCTACGTGTCGGAGGAATCTCTGATATCGGCGATCATCTTCGTGCAATAACACCTGGCGATACATCCTTTCGATGTCTGTCGTGATGACATAATTATATGTGCGGAATCGAATCAAATGCGAGAACAACGTGTCTTGAGTTGTAGGTCCTACCATTAACGCGTCGTTCAAGGACATTCCGTTATTCGTCTTCGCCGACGCGTCGAACACCATTCGAACTTTAGTCGTGTTACTCGTTTCTTAACGCTGTGTTTGAATTGAGTTTACGCTCCGGCGACAATAGACGTTTAAGCGCGATGGAACGCGATTCCCCTAGTCGCGTGTTTGATTTGCGAAACGGTAAGCGAACCTTGTAACGCCCGTCGGCGTCGCGAGACACCGTCCCTTCGAAGTGCGCTTCGCAATCGATTTGTTCGTCTGATTTCCTCTTAATTTCCCTGACTTCTTCAATTGCCCAAAATTTGTTTAACTGATTCTCGAGATTCGTCATGCAACGCGTAGGGTTTGAAGGAACTTGCGACGGTATACCACCTACCACCTCCCATCCGAGTCGTGTTTTCTGTAAATACAGATCGTGATCTTCACGCGACAAGTTGATCTGTCCGACGGAGAACAGAGATAAGGTGAGCCCTGAGCCAATCAGCAAATCAACCGCGCGTGGCAGGTGGAATTTCGGAACCGCCAATCTAACGTTTGAGGGTAATTTGATCGTGTCTCTCGGAAAGACTTCTGGGTGAATTAAATCGGCGATGACCGGAATCACCAGACACGTGAGATCCCTGCGACAATTATCGCGCGTGGATTGCATAGTGATCCGTACTATGCCTCTCGACTCTGTATTTACGTCATTGATCATACCAACTGACAACGCGCCTTTGCTTACATGAATGTTCAATCGCTTTAGAATAGATTCCGAAATAAAATTTGCTGTGGCACAAGTATCTAACACGGCGCGGGATTTTATCGGATTACGCCCGCGATCCCGGACATATACCACGGCACTCGCTAGTAATTGTGGTGCGGGTGTGTACGACACCATAGCATGCCTTATCTTCGCGGTATTAATCGACTCGGCTATTCATGCGGCCTGTGTATCTACGGCCTTAGAAGTGGAAGTTCGATTCGTCACCGGATATTGGTTTAAATGCAGAAGAGTGTTATGCTTCCTTTGGCAAATTGTACAGTTCGAAAAAGTGCAGGGGCTGTCTCTATGTAAGCGCAAGCAGTTGTAACAAACCTTCGCGTTTCTCACTGTTTCGATACGTTTAGGTATAGGTAATTGTTTAAATTTGTCGCATAAATACAAGGGATGCCGTTTCGTCTTGCATGCTATGCAATTACGCGCCGCGCTTACGACACGCGCTCGATTCGAGGGACGACTTCGTCTTTTTTTGCTCGAGGGTTCTCCTCTGCTTCCCTCCATGTCGGTTACCTTCGCTCTCTCGCGTCTCGAGACGCAAACCGCGGTTTTATATAAGAACTCGTACATCTGGTCGATCTCTGGAAACTCGTCTCTTTCGAGCGTCGCCTCCCATTTCTCCAACGTTATCCTTGGTAGCTTGGTCTCTAGCAAAGGTACGATCATCTCGTGTCCGACCGAAACTCCCAAAGAGTTTAGCGACGCAACGTGTGCTGTGCGTCGTCCGCGAGACTGGGCAAACCGTTCGTTGTTTCTTTGTCTAGCGCGGGCAAATTTAATAGCAGAGAGAGATGCCGCGATATCAAGATCCTCCTGACCTCATATGACCGTTCTAATAAGCTCAAGACCTTGGCATAATTAATTCCGTCAATTTCGAAGATCCTAATCTTGTTCGCGGCTTCGCCAGTTAACGCCGATCTAAGGTAATGCAATTTGTCTATTTCCGCAAGGTCCGTTCGCGAGCCTATCATACTGCAAAACGCATTTTTGAATGATAACCATTCCTCGACTCTACCATTAAACTTCGGTAACGGTGTTTCGGGCAGCTTAATCCGCCGTTTCTCAACAGGCGGTACGACGTCATCGCGCCGTACCCCTTCCTTTGATACGCTGGCGCTCGTTTCGGACATATCTCCCGACGGCGCATCTCCCGGACGTAAAATACTCTCAATTTTTCCCGCCAAGCTATAAAACCGCTCCTGAATACCCTCGAACTCGACCCGATGATTCGTGTTGGGATCTAATACCGCGAGTTCATCGTTATACTCTTCGAAGGCCCGATATAATTGCGTTAAACGCTCGTTTCGCAACCTTAATGTCGCGTTATCAATTTTCCCCCCTTCGACGATATTGGCTAAATTGGTTATTTGGGATTTCAGGAAAGTTCGTTTCTGAACGAGGAATTTGATTTTGTCCGCCATCTCGGCATGCGACGGAATGTAAATGGTGTGAAAGAATGACTTACTCTTACGCCTGTCGAGTACGATTGCACACGTCTCCTTCGGCTGACTTGGAAGACCCGCTCTTAGTAGATGTGAGGCGGCCTGCAGGCTGGATCCCGTTTCTTGCGTGGATTGAGGCACATACCTCACAGGAGGCACCAAAATGTTCAGTATCAACACGAACAGTTTCGTGTTCGCGCTGTCTTTTCGCGTAACAACAATAACAAGTGATGTTGGGTTGTGAATATATTGTTTATTGGTCCGGTCTCAGAATATGCCACAAATCTTTGTGTCTCGCACTCGCGATAGGAATA